ACTTTCTATAATAGAAAAACACATACTTTATCTTGATGCTCTAGTTCTCTAAGATATCTGTTTCGGTTGACTATATCTCTATATTTACTGTTTTTATCGTGTAAGTTTTTCTAAGCATCCTGCATGAAAAGCATAAATAATTTCTTCTCTCGTCTTAGCTACAAGATCAAATAGAGAAATGTTTTTTTTCTTTATTCAAGAACAACTCCTTATGTAATGTTTCTAATGTCCTTTCAGGATTTTCTCCAAAGACAAGCTCAAATGGTGAGAAACCTGTTGTTTCATTTTCTATATCCCTGTAGGCAAAAAGTACTAAGGGTCCCACTTATCTGTCCCAATCTGCTTATATATCATTGACAACTTTCTTTAACATCATCTTAATTGATTGAGTAGGTCTTTCTACTGCAACGTTTACTTGTGTTCTGTATCTTGCTGCATGGGTCTGTGTCATATTCAGCATTTGTGTGAAAGCTGCTGTAATTTGTGACCTTAATTGAGTTCCATTATCTGACAATATAATGTCTCTGGTATCATAATCTGTGATCTAGTTTCATTTTCATTCATTGTATTTCTCTTACTAATATGCCATTTACCAGTTTAAATCTATGCCAATGCGATGAGTGTGCTGTCTACTTTTGCTGTAATGGTGTAAGTTTTGTCGTCTTTCTGTTCATTCATTAGTTGTTCCTTTCTGTTCATAATGGTTTCACGTGTTTCATTTAGTTCATTTGAGTCTGATTCCTGTTGAACATTGATCTTTTGATGTGCTCTTGTTATCACAGTAAATTCATGCTGCTTACTGTTTGTTTCTTTCTCTGCATTATTCTTCATGTTCTATTATTAAATTGTGAATTAATTCTCCTTTCATGTTTTAATAATGTTCAATGTTGTCTGGTCTTTATTTATATTATTTCTTATTAACTATCAATTTTTCCACTAAGTACTTGTGCTTTCATGTGGTCTGATAGCTTTTCCTTTATAGCAATGGCATTAAATCTAGGTATGTATTTTTTTATGTGTTTAGTGCCATTCCTTTTGCTCATTTGCAATTTCATTCATTCTGTCATCGTGTTTTTCTTCTATTTCATTATTTGGACTAGCATCTTTTTCTAACTAGATGGAAGTATGCAGTTAACTTTGTTGTCTCCTCATCAACCACTGTTTCATTAACATTTCTGAATTATCAGATATCACATCTTCTTCTTCTTCTATATCTTAAGGGCCCACGATCAATTTATTGATCATTTTGGCTCCTATGCATGTAGATGGGATTTGCAATGTTTCTGTTACTGGTGGTGATGAGGAAATTATGCACTAGGGGTTTGAAGGCTTGAGGCAATAGACACAAATGTGTCTTGAATGCTACCTGTTATCAATGGTGTTATAGGTTTATCCATGACAATGCCCTGAATTTTGATTGTCACCCCAGGTGTATATACCTTGATGATTGCGGTCTTACATGATATAATTTGCCCATCTCCCAACTTAATGCTTTCTTTTGATGTTGTGTATTGATCTGGCTTTACTAAGGATCTATCAACAACAATTGTTGAGCAACCAGTGTCTCTGAGACATAATGTTTCTTTTTCATTTACAATACCTGGGTTGAAATTTAACGGCCGTTTACTGTTTAATATTGTAGCTACAGTATGATCCCTTAATGATGACCTTCCTCTCTCAAACGTGTTCCTTGGAGTCCCGCTATTGGGTGAAAGTCTTCTTTTACTTTCTTGTCTTATGTTGTGAGGAGAATGAACTTTTCTGCTTTGATTCCAATCCTGCCTTCTGCCCTGTGGATTAAATTTATTAGAATTGGTGCAATGTCTCCTCACATGTCCTTCTTTGCCACAGCTCCAGCAATTGAATATTTTAGTTGCGTTTGTCTATGTTAGTATTGGATTGGTCTGGTAGACTAGTATATCTTTTATGGTTTCCCATGGCGTCCAACACATTTTCCATATCATTTTTTGATCGATGACTTTGCATCGGGATGTCTCTCTTCATTGTCTGAAATGGCAGCAACCAACCATTTCATGTCTTTAACTTTACTTCGCTTGATGTAACAATACAATCCTTCATCAGCCAATTCAAGAACTTTGTCCACTACCACCAATTCCATTACAGCCTTTGGTTTGGCCATGTTAATTTGTGTTAGCCTCATCCATGAATCAAGATCAGCGAATAAATTTTATGTCCATGCTCGTGGATCATCATTTTTTCCTGAATCTGTTTCATGTAATTTTTTTTCTGTAAAATACTTCAGTTTTATTCAAGGGTCTTAAAAATTGATTCTTCGGAGTTTCATAATTAATTACGTTTAAGTTCTGTAGACGCGCCATCGAATCTAGCTGAACCTGTCACAGCTGAAAGTAGCTCAACTTTCCAGGCACTTTTGTCAATGTTTTGTAAGCTGCAATGTGTTTCTAAAATTCTAATGAAATATTCAAAATTCTTCTTCTTTTTTTAATCAAAGTGTTGCAGCCTAATACGAGAATGTTTTCTGTTTGTCCTTGTGTCATTAACTTCCATAGGTGTATTATTGATATAACGGGCTGATTCTAATTTATTCATCTCTAATTCGTGAGATCTTCTAGCAGCCCTTTCATCTCTTTCTTCTATCTTTTCTCTTTCAATTCTCTCTTTTTTAACGAATGCCTTTAACTCACTCCCTTCATATCTTAAATCTTTAGCTATCGCTATTATTTCTTTGACAAAATCTATAGTGGTATAAAGCAACCATCACATCTAGACTATAATCCGTGTCACTGTACAATCTCGTTGTATATAATACCAGTGGTGAAGTTGTTCAGATATTGACTGTTATTTTACCATCCACATTTACAATAAAAGAATTAATCTAACAGTAAATCCGGAAACACTTGAAAATGATGTCACATGAATTTCAATCACTTCCTTCTGGATAACAAGATCTCCTTTTACTTGATAATGTAACAAAACAATACAAATCTTCATTACAACATCGACGGCCTTTCCTCATTACTCTCAAAACAAACGCCATTGTTAAACTCGTTTCCGTGATTGACCAATTTCTCCCGACTCCCAAAGCTCTCTTTATTATATAATAAATATTTACCATATTACGCATTCCCCATTAGTATTCATATACATATCTGTGACGTCAGTATTGCCATGTAATAAAAAAAAAAGAGGGGGGGGGGTGACAAAGTGATAAAATTCAATTTTTTAAAACTCATGGACGTAGAAATGGGCACGACGGGGGGAAGCAGCAAATCAGAGCGCATCACGGTGTGCAATGAAAGTGGGAGCAGACAAGATACACTTATTATTGTAATATATTATTTTTAAATGCTTGCAAAATACTTGCATATTATCAACTTATTACAACGCCATATCGGTTATAGTTCAGAAGAGCTCAGACATTTGCCAAAATATTTTGCATGAAGTTCATTGATATTAAAAAAAAAATAAAGTGAATTAATTTGGTGCTTTTTTCAAATGTTACTGAATGTATCTCTTTTAACAAAAAAAAATATTATTCATGTCTTTTTTTATATTTGGTGACAGCTCATAGAAACGCTTGTTATTCTTCAAAACTTAATAACAAAGACAAATACATCAAAAAAGTGAATCACACACACACACACATAAATTTAACAGAAGCAGAGCAATTTGAAGATCTTTATTGTTCTTAGTCCAGAAATTCTGGTTGTCTTTATTAACGGTGTTATGATAGGTTATCTGTGAAATGACTTTGTTGGCCAACTGAATTCATTGGCGTAGGAATAGGGCGGATAGAGTAGTCCGCGCCGGGATGGACTTTTTTCTTGATACTGAGGCGCGGAATATTTGAAAAACTGGAGTGGGAGGGGGAGAAACATCTTAGCCCGACCCCGGGTTTTCGTAACACTAGTTAAGCCACGGCTTGGACATATTACCATTGGCTACCCAAGATTCTTCTTCAAGTGCGGAAATGACAAAACAAAAACAAAAAATGTTTTATTAGTGATTGAAGTTCGATTTTTAAATCAAATTTATCAGCACCCACTTTGGTAAATCCAGTACCCACCCCGCTCAAACCAATTTAGCATCTTACCGACTCTTTTAGTCACCCCAGCATTCTCTGGGAGTGGGTACCATTTTGAGAACCCCTGATCTATCAGAACAATCTTACAGCCATCTTTCTATAAGAGAGCAAATTTTATTCCATTTTTATCTAACAATTGTCCCACAAACATTAATCCGTTGTGTACGTCCATCCTGCCAGGCTGTCTTACGTGTAACTTGGAAGTAGGGTTGTGAACGGGTACCATTGAAATGATGCAGTCATCGAGTTGCATAAACACAAGAAGACCACACATCTGCACCATACAGTTTGAGTCGCCTTCTTTCTGTTTGCCAAAAATTCCACAGTTTTTTGCTTTTATGCTTAAAAAATTAAAACCACCACAAAGAAGTAGCAGACCTAAAAAAAATTTGATGAGAATGGAAAGGGCATCTTGCCTTTGTGACAGATGTAACAGAGATGGTGAACAGATGGTGAAACTTCGTTGAAAGTTGAAGCTCCTCTGTGATAAGAAATTACACATCAAGTGAAATAATTAAAAGTAAAATTAGATCCTCATTACTTAAGATATGATGGCTGAAAGGTCTTCCGTGTATACAGAGGTCAAAACCTGTGGGTGGGGAAACTAGTATTTACATTACTGGTAAAGAAAGATAAAACTGGCTGAACTAAAGAATTGCCAATCTTTACATGCACGTCTACCTTATGGATTTGGTGGGTGTTGATTGCGGATGGCGAGGTCCATTCGTATAGCTTGTGTGGAGTAATATTTCCGCCCTTTTATTTGTAGACATTTTCTTGTGCTTTAAGTTCATATGCGTATTTTTCTTCTTCTCCTTCATTCATCATGAGAATGTCAGTGTAAATAAAACTGAGTAATGTCAACTTCAATATATGTGGTACCCTTTTCTTTGTTCACTTGTCCACGAGGCAATTTGTAAAGCAAACTATATTTTTAACTTGATAAAGTTACGTTACATCCGGTCTTCCTTTGCTTAAAAATAGCGTTAAATATGCGCCTGTACTTTGTACTCATTCTGTAATACAAGAAAATACTCAGTGACGAGTTCACGGCTTCGAACAACCCAGAGAAAGAAAATTCTACAACAAACGAGTTCTTGTAAAGTCCGACGATGGAAAATTCTGGAACCGTGATGACAATGAGCAAACCAATGTAGGCCGGCAAATAACAAAGGATGTGTATGAATGCGATAGCTGTTATCATTTTAATTGTCTTGGATTCTTTCTTATCCATGTTTTTCAAAACTCGGTCCGTCCCAGAAGTGGTTTTAAAGCGCCATTTTGATTTTTGTCGTAGCTTTGCAGTAAGAATAATGGTGAAAAGAATAATTAAGGGAATAGAAAGGAATTGAAAAGATGTGTAAATTGTAAAAGTTATCCCCCTTGCAGCCTCACTGTACTTTCTCGGCACCATGCCAATCAGAGTTTTGTTTCTGTCGGGGAAATATTTCCAGTCTAAATAGAAGGTCATGTACTCGGGTATGAGGATTGCAAACATCATCACGTAGATTGAAGCCATTATGAAAACAACTATTTTAGGAGTGACCAATCTCTTGACTCTCAATGGGACCACAACGCACAGACATCTTTCGAATGTGATGTACGCCGTTATCCAGCTGGTGATCTTGCTGAAGGAGGCCATGGGCAACCCAACCACTGAGGTCTGCAACTCTTTTGGCTCAATTAAAATTTCTGAATTAAGTAAGATGGGATTGTTGAGGATAGCGATGATAAGATTGTCCAGCAGCGTCCCCATGTCACTGACGGCCAAAGCCAAAAGGCTAATGTTGACCGTGTCGTGGAAACCTTGCGTCACGAAGACAATGATGTTGATGCAGTTTCCACCGAGACCAATCAAGGATACGACGGGACTGAATGAGCCAAAGTTTATTGATAGAATCAGTTGGCAGAGTTCGTCACTGATGAGGCCAAACACCGCGTCATATTTGGTTTCATTTAACATTGTTTGGTACCCACTACACCACTACTAGATGTATTAGTGAGATAGGTCAACCGAAGTGGGAGTTTTCTTCCCCTCTTAAGCTCCCTTTTTTAATTCAAATAGAAGGGCCGTTACTCATCTGTACCACTTCATAAGAGTAATAGTAAATAGTAAAATAAATTACACTTTTCTTTTGGTCTGAGTCATCATGTATTGGTTTTGATTTAATCCAATGTCTGAAAGACAGATGGTGCTTAATATAGTCTGATGTCTGAGTCAGATGGTGCTTGATATAGTCTGATGTCTGAGGCAGTAGGTGCTTGATCTAGTCTGATGTCTGAGGCAGCTGGTGCTTGATCTAGCCTGATGTCTAAGGCAGACGGTGATTGATATTGTCTGATTTCTGAGACAGATGATGCTTGATATATTTAGATGTCTGAGGCAGATGGTGATTGATATAATCTGATGTATGAAGCAGATGGTGCTTGATCTAGTCTGATATCTAAGGCAGATGGTAATTGATATAATCTGAGGCAGATGGTGCTTGATTTAGTCTAGTGAATGAGACAGATTTTTGTTTAACTGACTCTGATGATTGAGACAGTTGTAGTTTGTTAATTCTGACGTCAGAGGCGGATGATCATTGATTTACACTGTTTACATAAACAGAGTGTACTAAGTTTAGTCTGATGTCAGAGACGGATGATCATTGATTTACACTGTTTACTGAAACAGAGTGTACTAAGTTTAGTCTGATGTCAGAGACGGATGATCATTGATTTACACTGTTTACTGAAACAGAGTGTACTAAGTTTAGTCTGATGTCAGAGACGGATGATCATTGATTTACACTGTTTACTGAAACAGATTGTACTAAGTTTAGTCTGATGTCAGAGACGGATGATCATTGATTTACACTGTTTACTGAAACAGATTGTACTAAGTTTAGTCTGATGTCTGAGACAGAAGGTTTCAAATTTTTTTTTACTGATGTATGAACATATGCTGTTTGATTTATTCTGTGTTTTGAGACAGATGGCGCTCGATACAGTCTGATTTCTGAGACAGATTATGTTTCATTTACTCCGATGAAAAGACATATTTTTTTGGATTAAGTCTGATGCATATGGTGTTTGCTTATGTCCGATGTAAGATTTCTTTTTTCCTTCCCGGCCAGCGGACAAAGCCGTGAGAATATTCCTGTGGAAAAACTATCTTACCAGGTACCCGATATCTCACCTTTCTTAAAATAATACAACTTAACACATATATCAATACATTGAAATGATCTTCTTTCTTCTTAGTTTTTGATGACTCTATGACAAAGGCATGTTGAAATAATCAAGATTTGATTTCAATATTCACCATAATTTAACTTATTAAATAGTAATTTTTGTGTGTGTTAATTTCACGATATGGTGATTAAGGTGCCTATATATTTTAATTGTTTTGTTATTAAATTTAGCGTGGACCATACAATTATTTGTCTCTGGCAAAAATAAAAACTTCTGAGTGGAAATAGAAAAAAATTGTCAATAATTAGTTGTCATCGCTGACAAAATACCTATAAACAATGCTTAGTTTACAAACTATTATTTTGACGAGAAAAACGTTTAATAAATATAACTCTTTGTGCAAGAGAGCCATCATCATAGCGTCTCTGGCTACATATTTTTAAGGTCCAAATTGTTCTGCACTGTTCCTCACAAGCCACATGAGTAATTACGAAAAAGGATGAAGGTTTCATCAGACGGTAAAAATTTTGTTTGTCATCGTAGTAAGTATTAGTTTCACGGTCTAACGATATTTCTACACTTATCGGAATGACTCAAGCGGCGGCTCTCAAATTATTTGAAGCGCTGCCCCCTTCTTTTGATTTTTCCTGAGCGTACATTTCTCGCGAAGCCCCAAGAATAAAATGCTCATACAAATTCAAATAAACTTTATATTCTGGGTATTCAACCACTCACTGACACTGCCCCCCCTCCCAAAAAAAATAATAAAAAACATCCCTGGTGTGTGCGCACTCCTGGTTAAGAACCCCTGGTCTGCAGGACAACCATCAATTACAAAAGATTTAGAATTAGATTTTAGAAATGCTAACGTGCATTTAACATCAAATATTGATTAAGAAGACAAAAGAAATATAGATACATATATAATTAAAAGCTATCATTTGTAATAATTTTCTCATTCGAACAAGTTCTAATCGACATAAACTTCTCAAAATTGTTTTGTTTCTTTTATTTTAAATTTTATCAATGTTTGCTTCGCTCGGTGTTAAGACAGAGACCATATGGTAGCTCGTCTGTCGTTGATCAACCACAACCATTTTAAACAGCCTGTTGTCGGGGCCGAGTCTGGCTGTAGGTTTGCAGATAGTCAATCAGGCCAAATCTGTCAACAAGATGTCTGGCGTCTAAGGCATGGGGGATGGATGGGGCAGCACCAGGTACAGAGTTCGCTCTGGTTTTTGCAGGCTTGTCTCGATTCTTTGAGAACTGTTCCCACATGTCCGGGGCAATGTGAAGTGCTTCCAAAGATATGTAACGAAGACCGTGTTTTTTTAACAATTTTCCACATTGCAAAAAATAAAGAAACAAAATTGCATTGTGTTTTGACTTTACATTTGGTTTAAACTCATTGGCATCTTAAGCTGGTTTTTTTTTTTCACTCCACGACAAAAGCCGACTTGGTGACTATTTAGTCATCTGGAAAAATGGATTTATCAACCATTGAAATAGTGGCATCAGTAGATACTAAAATAAATGAGACATATATATATATATGAGTACTAGCTGTGTCAACGCAGCCATGTTACCCGTGTAAAATACGGGAAGATTTCCATAAGATCTTAATATAATTCCAGATTCACGGACTTTGAGGGTTCGTTTGTTCACACAGACCATGTAACTTTTAAACATATGATTAAGATTAGGCTCGGTGTCCTAATCTGGCCTTTTATCACACAATTGGTATCAATTATGTCCACAATTCTGGGTTTATCATCATCGCTGTAGGACTCGTTTTAAAAAAAAACTCAGCAGCGTGGAAATGTGCTCTCGTGTGTGCTCTTGGTACGTACGTGATCAAACGCTTGACTGGGGAAGCAGCGAATAAGAGCGCATCACGGTGCGAAATGATAGAGCAGCGGACAAGATCCAATGGGGAATTATTATGATCTTGTTACAACGCGGTTTCTTTGCTAGTTCAGAAGAGCTAAGAAATTTGCCAAAATATTTTGCCTTGAGTTCAGCGTATACACATTAAAAAAAAAAAAAGAATACATTTCTTCATTGTTCTTAGCACGGTACTTCTAGAAAAGCCGCAAATTTGCATCAAAGGAAATAATTCTTTACTGCAGACCAAGGTCGATCAAGTATATTTTCCAACCAGATATTGGCGATAAATGAAAAAAAATTAAACCTAGTTAAGACACTTTGTACTTTTCAATTAAAAAAGACGAAAAAAAGAAGAAAGGCATGGAACTTACACTATTTTTTCAATTGAGACAATGCGTTCTTTGGCTCTCAGTTTACAATAGAAACTACCTTTAGTTGAAATATGAAACAATATCCTTTCTGAACATAAAATGACAAAGTGAAATAATAAACGTTTTTTTTTTTTTTGCTCGAATAATCAATAAAGAAAAGGAGATTCAATTTAGATAAATAGTACATTTTTTTCTCAATGCTGACAATTTTAAATAGCAATAATATTATCAACACCAGAGCAGCTTGAAACGTAATGACCGTGTATTAACTTCTTTGTGAAATGTAGATTACTTTGCTGGCTAGCTCTACTCAATGGAGTTGGAAGAGAAAAAAAATAGGNGGGGGGGGGGGGGTCAGATAGGTTAGTCCTTGCACGGTGGCGCTTTTTTCTTGATATTGAGGGGCGGAATATTTGGAATGCTGGAGACGGAGTGGGGGGGGGGGTTGGAAAAAAGTTTGTCATGATCCCGTGATTTTCCTAACACTAACCACACCAGTGCTTGTACATCTGCACTATTTTGCTATCCAAGATTCTTCTTTGAGTTCGGAAATGATAATACATTTATTTGAAAAATACAATTTTATTACAGACTGAAATTCGGCTTCCAAATCAATTAATGAGCGCCCAATTTAATAATCCTAGCTCCTCCCCACCCCCCACCCCAAACACTAAATTAGCATTTTACCGACCATTTTGGCTATCCAACCATTATGTGGTAGCGGTAACACACATTTTGAGAACCCCTCATCTTATATAACAATGTTAGTATCATGTTTATAAGATAGCAATTTTGTTGCCTAGTTAATCTAACAAGGGCTCTTACAAAAACCGACCCACTGGGACAACCCAGCAATCCAGGCCGTCTTACGTGTATATTAGTAGTTAAGTTGTGTACGTGTACCCTTGAATATGATGCAGCCAACGTGCTGCATGAACACAAGAACAGCACATCTGCCCTATTCAGTCCTAAAATGTTTATTAGCCGCCTTCTTTCTGTTGTAAAACTTCCACAGTTTTCTCTTTTATGTTTTCAAACAACTCTCAACAACAACAAAGTAGGACCAGAGCTAAATTTAAAAAAAAAAAAATGCTGAGAATGGAAATGGCGTCTTGCCTTTATGACAGATGTAACAGAGATAATGAACAGTTTCAATGTGCAACTGCCATAAAAGGGGAAGCTTCTCTGTCATAAGAAATGACATGCATAGGGTAGAATTTGAAGTAAAATTAGACTTCATTATTTAACATATAATGGCTGAAAACTTGTTTCCCTCTCCACACGAATCAAAACCTATGGGTGTAAAAAATTATTTTTTTTACATTATGGCTTAAGAAAAAGAACTTGCGGCACTAAAAAATTGTGACTCTCTATATGCATCTTTCAGGGGGCGAAATAAATCTTGACCCCACATATTCTGGCACTAACGTTTGCTACGACACTGTCAATCTGCTCTGTGACACATCTTTATCACAGAAACCGTGCACAAAACAAA